ACAGCAATTAACTCCAGTACACCATTGGTGACAAGAGGTGGCTCAGAACCAGACAGTGAGTGACAAGAGAGCATCATGAGTCAGAGCTGATTCACTAACAACACAAGCACATAGGTTCAAGTATATGTAACTGTCTAGAGCTATGTTCAAAACCAAGTATAGATGGTATGTTTTACGAGCAATTTCAAGGATAAAACAAAACACTCACTGCACTTGAATCAGTTCTAACTCACACCTCCATTGTCTGAGGCTGTAAAGAAGACCTCGTGTCTTTCTTTGTTCCTGATTGGAGGAGACATGTTTCTCCTACAAAGGCAACTCCTTCCCACCATCAGAACATCTCCAAATGAATATAAATCATTTCAAAGGGTATACTGACCTTCTAAATCATATGAGTCAAACTTTCTTAATCATATTAGCTGCAAAAGACATCATTATCAGTTGACATTATGAAATCTAAACTTATTTCTAATGGAATAGAGATTGAGACACTTCTTTCTAATAGCTCAACAGAGGCTAACAAAATTGTCACTTAAAAAAAGATTCTTCAAAGGTCTGCTGTAAGGAAGAACTAAAAATGATTTACAATTAGTGCTTGATTGAACATGGGTACTTCTTAAATTCTAGGAAACATTTTTTTCTGTGAAGTAGACCTTGTTTCCATGGTAATCATGTTTATGATATTGCTCTGTGTGGCTTTTCCATTCTGTAGTGAAAATGAAGTTTTAGCTCAGCCTTTATCTAAGATTTAAATTAATGGAACCCCAGTTAATGAGACAGTATGAGCATTGTCAAGCCAGTATCAACAACTTTCTAATTACTCAGACTTCCTCATTGTCATAAGAACAACCTATGATGGAGTTTCCTCATGGGGAAAAAGAAGTCTTTACAATTATAATGGCTAGCTCTGATGGCCTAATGGCAAAAAGCTGCGCTGTAATTGCTAAAGGCAAGAGGTTCAAGGCCACCAGCTGCACCACAGGAGAAGGATGGGCAATCTCCTCCCATACAATCAACTGCCTTTGAAAACCTGCTGGAGGGTCAGCTATGAGATGATTCCAACTCTACAGTACACAACAACAACAGTATTTATGGACAAGTGTGTTGGGCCAAATACTGTTCTAAGTACCTTATGTGAGTCATTGTTGTTAGTGCGGGACCACTGAGTCAACTCCGACTCACAATGACCTTGTGTACAGGTCAAAGCCCTGCCCAGCCTGCACCAAGCTTACACTCTCTGCTGTGCTTCATTGTGTTGCTGCAGCCATTGTGACAATCCATCTCATTAACTACCCTCCTCTTTTCCACTCTCCCCCCTTTTACATAGATGTTGTCATTGTTATGTGCCGTTGAGTTCACTACGACTCACTACAACGCCTAGTAACCCTGTATACAACAGAGCTTAACCTTGGCCCAACCTGCACTATTCTTAAAGGTCGCCTATATACATTGTCACTATGTCAATCTATCTTGTTAAAGTTCTTCCTTTCTTTCTCTAACCATCTCATTTAGGGTCTTCCTCTCTTTCTGACTTTTCCCACCATGAGACCTCTTTCTAAGGACTGCCCCTTCCTGACAGCAAGCCCAAAATAAATGAGACATAGCTTCACCATCTTTGTCTCTATGAGGCACCCTCCGGGCCAGCCTGTGTATCCTTTAGACTACTATCTGTAGGATATTCAGTGTTGCCAAACACCAGTGTCAGTCTAATCTGTAATATCATTTTAAATTACCATATTCATAATAGAATAAGCATTTGTATAATTTTTTTAGCATTTTCTCTTAATAGTTTCTATTTAATAAGTCATTACATTGCCAATTAGTAATTTGAAATTAAAGATTGCATGGAATTATACAGTTAGATGGGTCTTGAAATGTTACAATTTCCCATACATTTGTGCCAAACGCCTCAAAACACTGCTGAAGAGAAACTTGGGATATATGCCTACTGTAAATTTGTGTGCGATACTAACTGTGCTTCTTATTTTACCCATTGACAACATATTATTGGTTTGTGCCATCAAATTGGAACTGGCTATTGCTGGCCCTCTGGCTGGTTTTCAGAGGCAGTAAATTACACAGGTGGAGATTGCCCATCTTTCACCTGCAGAGCAGCGGGTGGATTTGAACCACATGCCTTTGGGTTGACAGTGCAACTCCTTAGTATTAAGTCACCAGAAACCCTTTAAACACCATGAAAAGCATATAAATTACTTGTGATTCAAATAATAGCTGTCACTTAAATACCTTGTATAACTCTTGCATATAAATAAGGCTTTACATTTTTATTTTATAGTCAATTAAGAACCTTTATCAAATACGTAGCAAGAAAATTGATCTCTAAAACCATTAAGTGGTTGATTATAGTAATTGAGAACAGTTCTTGTCCAGAAAATTTCAGTCTTGGGCCTGAAGTTAAAAAAAAAATCATAATAAAGTTCTACCACTGCTGAGCACCCCATGCAATAGGACAAGTCAAGATATTTAAGTTTTCTTTTATTATTATTATTATTATTATTATTTTGCATATGACTAGTCATTCATACACATTGTGTTTCATGTACATGTTTTATGCAATCTTTTATATACATTGTGAGTTTTTTCCTTTTATTTTTTTAAGACTTCGTTTCATTCATGTACATTGTATTTCACACATTCCTTCATTTACATTGTTACATTGTGTTTTGTATTATTAATTTCTATTGATCTGTGGCTATTATCACCCCATCTTTTCAAGATCCCATTGAATTTTTCTTATTTTTCACCCTCTCCCCTCCTCTGCCCACTAACCTCTCTTGTTGCTACTGTTACATACCATTGAGTTGCCTGTGACTCATAGAGACCCTATGTACAACAGCCCTAAACCCTGCTCTATTCTGTGCCAATCTTATTGTCTCTGACACACCTACTCCTACTGTTCAGTCACTGAATCAATCCATCTCATCAAGGGTCTTCCTGTCTTGCATTGTCCCTCCATCCTTCCAAGTATGATGTGCCTCTCCAAGGACTGGTCCCTGCTTGCAACATGTCCAAAATATGTCAAACAAAGCTTCAGAATCCTTGCCTCTAAGGAGCAGCCTGGTTTTACACTCTCTAGGATGAACCTGCACGTTCTCTTAACAGTCCATGGTATATTCAGTACTCTTCTCCAAGACCACTCAAAGGCATCAATTCTTCTTCTACCATCCCTAGTCATTGTCCAGCTCTCTGATGCCTAACAAGTGATTGCAAAGACCATGGCCTTTATCAGGCACACCTTGGTCTCCAGACTGATATCATTGCTCTTCCGTGCTTTGGAGAGGTCTTTCACAGTAGACTTTCCCCAAAGTAATATGTCTTTTAATTTCCTGGCTGCTGGTGCCAAGAGTGTTGATGTGGAACCAAGCAAACTAAAACTGTTTACAATCTCAAACTCTTCACCATCCATGACAATGTTGCCACTTTGCCCAGTGGTGAGAATCTTTTTTTCCCCCCTTGATATTGAAATTCAATCCATATTGAAGGCTGAAGTCCTTGACCTTCTGCAGCAAGTGCTTTAGGTCCTCCTCAGTTTCAGCAAGCAGAGTCGTGTCATCTGCATAACGCAGGTTGTTGATGAATCTTCCTCCACTTCTTATGCCACATTTCTTCTTATAGAGCCCAGCCTCCAAGATAATGTGTTCTGCATATAGA